CTGGATACGGACAGGCTAATCAATCAAAGGCTTTGGTGTAGGACGCCAGTTCTCTAGGTCTGGGCGTCATGGCAGTATCTAAACACAAGTGCGACCATGAATACTATTTTAAAACTAAATCATATCCTGCATCAGCCGTCGTGCAGATTATCAAGGGTCACTTTATCTGCTGCATACAGCAGGGCGGACGAGCGAAAACGTGATACTGCTAACGCCGCCCTTCTTTTTCTTACTCCCCACCCAACCCCCACTTTTAGCCTTCCTATTCTCAATTTAAATGAAAGGACCCGCAATGTCACTGGAGTCAAACCAACTGCAGCTATGTTCCCGCACCACCCAATGGACATTAATCAACAGCTCATTATAAGGCCACACTGTCTGGTTTTCCTAGCGGCGTTTAACGTTCGCACTCTAAAACAAATAGGTCAACAGGCTGCATTCGCACGCCCGTTAGACACCCTGGATGTTGACGTGAGTTATGTCCGAAACTAGAAGCAATGACTCCCACCGGGTTTTTGAATTAACGGCGTCGTGACTTGTCTGGTGCAGCAACCAACGCTCCGCGTTCACGTGTGAGTTGAAATTAGAAGGTAAATGCCTAGCAAAGCATGTTGGGGGAGGGCCAAGAATCGGGGGGTTGAAAACTAGGGGGGATATAAGTGAAGTTGGAATGGGACGGTAAGAGTGAAAAAGTGTAAGAGGGGGAATAAGAAGACGGGAAGACTTGAGCAGTAGCATCCAAACCCCTATCCACCCTGCTCGATGCAGCAGATAGGGCACCGTTTATTATCCTCTGCGGTGGCCAGAGCATCAAGGAATTGTTTGAAGGAAAATTCATAGTATTGCGTGCGCAGGATACTGTCAGGTTGCCCAGGCCTAGACATGAGAACGATTAGGGTGGGGGATCAGCTAGAAGTCGTTCAGAAATTCAATTACCTGGGAAATTGTATCAGCGCCCTTGGGATCGAAGACGAGATCACGAACCGCATAGCGAAAGCTCGAAGTGCTTTTGCTAACCTTCGCCACCTATGCGACGGCGCGACATTACTCTCGCCCTGAAGGGTAGAGTGTACAATGCAGCGGTACGTTCGACCTTACTGCACGAACTGAACGCGCTACTACGCAGCGCTACTAGTTCAGATATTATAGGACTTGCAGGGGATATGAACGCGCAAGTAGGGGCGTCTGAGCTCTTCAGAAGCTCAGCTGGGTGGTAATTGTGGACTTAACTCCGAACGGACTGACAACGGTGAGCGTCTGCTGCAACTGTGTGCGGAGCACCAGTTGTTTCTTAGTAGCACTGCTTTTAGACACAGTGCGCGCCGAAGTGCCACTTGGCGTCCTCCTGTAGCTGGCCAGCGATGGACCCAAATTGACCACTTAGCCATAAGTTACAGGTGACGTGGTTCCAGATTGCCGCTCGTACTGGAGTACCTGTGTCGACTCTGATCATGCCTTGGTACGTTGTCGTTTCTCCATGAACTTTACCGGGAAGGGCACCAAGCGTCTCCTCCGTTTGGCAACGGAGAAATTGTCTCAGTCCTCGGTCAGGCAAGCCTATCAAGAAGCACTGTATACCGAACTTTCGCTGTCATGTTCTAATGACACTGAGCTTCAGTGGAATCTGATCTCGGCCGCCATGCACGACGCAGGAGCATCTGCTTGTGGCACTATCCATCGTCACTGCACCAGTCACTGGATATCCGAGAGTTCGGTGAACCTGTTGGCATCTAGAAGACACCTCCCGGCTGGCTCTGAACACAATGTGACCGGACGGGCTATTAGGCGTGAACTAAAGCAGAGCCTACGTGCTGACAAGGATGCCTGGTGGACCAGTAGGGCTCAATAAATGGGGGAGGCAAGAGCAGTAGGCAATCACCGCAAGCTCTTCCAGCTAATCCGCACCACTGGTCCCAGAAAACCAGGCGTCAGTGAGACAATCAGAGACAGTGCGGTTGCACAGATACACAATACGGAGCGCCGTATGGCTAGTTGGGTGGAACACTTTCAAGATCAGCTCAGCTGGCCTCCTGCTCCCGGACCTCCTCCTACTCAAGTGATGCAGAACGAACCATGGACGGTTAGGTTAGAGCCTCCGTCGGAGGCCGAGGTCCGAAACGCGATCACAGCCCTTAATCGTTTTCGTGCGGCTGGCCCGGATTCCCTCCCATCTGCACTATTTAAGGATGGAGGTGAGGTCCTCTGCAAAGCACTGACCTCCTTATTCGAGTGTATCTGGAAGGAAGTGTCCCGGCTAACTGGAGCGAATCGATTGTAGTGACAATATACAAGAAGGGCAGTCGCACAGACTGTTCTAACCACAGGGGTATTAGCCTAACGCCAATTGTGACAAAATTATTGGCCTTGATTATCGTTCGTCACCTCACCGCGGAACGTGAATCTCGGATTAGGGAAGAGCAGACTGGTTTCCGTCCAGAGCGTGGCTGTATAGACCATATATTCACTTTGCGGCAGGTGCTAGAGCAGCGCCACGCATACCGCAGATCGACAATAGCTGTGTTCCTCGATTTCAAGAGTGCGGCCGATTCAGTCGATTGGTCGATTCTGTTCGAAATACTTGCGCGGAAAGATGTTCCCACGAAATATGTGAACATCCTTCGTGCTCTATATTCGAACACTACAGGCCGCGTCAGTGTCTACGGTGGCCTATCGGATAGCTTTCCGACCACCAGTGGCTTTCGTCAAGGTTGTCCGATTTCCCCGTTTTTGTTCAATTTCGTCGTGGATTCTATCATGGAGCGTTCCCTTGCGGAATCTCAAGATGTAGGCGTTGAAATGCTGTCTGGTGGAAGGTTAGTTGATCTAGATTATTCGGACGATATCCTCTTGCTTTTCGACGATGTTGGGGCGGCCCATTCAACCCTGAATAGCCGGTCTAGATTGGTCCCATTATTTGGTATGCACTTCGCACCATCAAAGTGCAAAGTGTTGCTGCAGGACCACCAGCCACTTGATGACCCCTTGACACTTGCTAACGAGGAACTCGAGGTGGCTGATCATTCCACTTATCTTGGCAGCCGCATCAGCAATGATGGGCGCATACAAACTGACGTCAACTCACGCATTGCAAAATCCAAAGCTACTTTCTTGAACCTGTGGCATCTTTGGCACCAGAAGGGTTTCCCTTCGTCTGAAAGGCCACAGTGAGGGCCGTTCTGCTCTATGGCAGTGAGACTTGGCCCGTTCGGTCTGAAGATCTGAGGCGCCTTCAACTCTTTGATCATCGTTGTTTGCGAAGCATTGCTGGAGTCGGATGGCACCAGCATGTCCGCAACGATGATGTGCGTAGGCGAGTACTAGGTGATGATAATCATGCTAGCTCCCTAGAACAACAGATAGCACTGAATAAGTTGCTTTGGCTTGGACACGTGCTATGTATGCCTGGTCACCGCTTACCTAGGAGGGCCTTGTTTAGTCTGCCAGGTGTAGGGTGACGCAAGGCTCGAGGTGGACAGAAGTTGACTTGGCAGCGGGAAATGAAGTCACTGACGACCAAACTGGGTGCCGTTGGTCCGTCTCGCCTTCCGGGCTGGAGTCCACGTGACTCCTCTTGTGCTTGGCTCGAGACTTTACAGGACATGGCTCGCAGTAGACACCAGTGGCGCGTCTGCTGCGGTCTCCTAATCGGATTGTCTGTTTAAAGTGTGTTTGGTGCTGAGTTATCTGCGGGGTAATGGCTGATTATGACGCGTGGCAGTGAAAGCCGCAAGGAAGCTGTCTCGCCGATGCCGCCTTATCTTTGCACGATAGCCAGCTGTTTGTGACGGCATGTTGTCTACACAAGGTGTAGGCGCCTTGACCTGAATGTTTGCTTATGGCATTAAGGTTTTCAGGCAAGTCCCCCTTCTCTCCCTCTTCTTATTCTTTATTTCATAGTTCCTCATGGTTGTATGGCAGCGAAGCATCAGTTCAAATGTCTGATGTACTTCTGTTTTTGATAATGATGTTACCTTTAGCTGCAGATTTGGACGCATCAGTCTACGGCTGTCGGTCAATTTCTAACAAGGGCCTGTGTTCCGACCATGCTATAGGGGGCATAACGAGGGCATTTACTATACCCCCTTCGAATAAGCGCCTAACCTCTAAGCTTCTCGGTTAACTTGAACTTGTAGTCAATAATTCAATGATATCATGACGATCTGCTTTTGTCAAGTTGTAGGTGCATTGTCCTCATATGTTTGCTTATGGATATTGTGTGTTACATTAAGGTCTCCTGCCCCACCTTTTATTATTTAACATCGCTGCGATTACGGTAGTATGGCACAGTAGCATGAGCTTTAGTTACTGATTTGCTGCTGCTGCTTTTGTTGCCGTTGTTATTGGTCTGATGACGTCGTCAATTTAGTGTTTAGATGGAGATATTATTGTGGCTCTCCACTGGAGTATTTACTAAACCTGACCATATACTCCCACCAAGTCGTCCCTCGTGCCCGCTGATCGCTTGCTTCAGCGTGTGTCTGCCGTTATCGTACTTGGCCGGGTGAAGACTCGTGGTGGTCACTCAGGAGTGTGGCAGCGACATGAAGAAATTGATTGCTAGATTTCGTTGGTCTAGTTTGTGGTGTATTCTTGGATGGTGCCCTCGGGATCGACCGTCTATAGTTGGCCGACATATCCCCGATATCGTGCGTTCTGGGAGTCGATTGCCTTATCGGGTTCAGTCACTTTAATCTAACAACGAGCTCTCCAACCCGACTGTGTTGCTTACACTTGTTGCTACATTCATTCTAATCCTACGGGTGCTTTGTCCCATTTCCGCCACCAACGTTTGTTCACATTTTCTTGGATACGCGAGTCTTGGTAACTGGGTCTACCGCACCTCATCCCTTGGATCATAGCTGCTTAACTGAACTAATCAAATATGCGCCTTCCGGCACCCGGTTCGTACCGTACGCACACTGTACAATGCTTTATGTCTCAGGAAGTTTCCACCCCAGACGTCTATATGTTTGTACTTTAAATTTCCTCTTTTTGCCCAGTTTATTGCGGATCACTTAAAAAAGCAGCTGCTTTCGGTTTTGTACGATCGGCCGGTCTCTTTAGTGCTCGAGAAGTACACGAAACATTCATCCACCCAAAAATCTGGGATGAAACACCATGACACGTGAGTTCCTTGAGGTATTTATCCACTCTGACATGTAAATATGCCACTTCATTTTGGACAAGGCATTGTTAATACAAGATCGAATGTTGTTCTTTTCGCTTGTACTCCCGATTCGTTAACCATCCTCTAACCCCATCCCTTACTTCAGAGAGTTCAGCGACAAAACGCGGCCTTTAGCGTGTGCCCAGCTAGTGATTCTAATAGGCAGATAAAATGTAGCGCCGTTTTTATCGGTACAGTCAAAGATTCCCTTTTGTCTAGCAGTACAATACGACACAGTTGACATTGCTAGCTAGGGGGAACGAAAAGTGTGCAGCATACAGAGCGATAACGCGTTGCAACCGGAGCAAGCGCCAAGAAAAGTTGGTATTAGACCCAAGCAGTCGAGCTCGACCTGCAGTTCAGCAATCAGTACCGATCGCTTAAGTGTAGAATTAAATAGTTTTTTTTCTGTTAAAATGTTACACAGGCGAACCGGACCGCTGCATGGCCCTTTCCCAGCAGGGACTGTCTAAGCGGTGCTTCGACATATGTCAAGGCTATCCGTCGCACGCCAGCCTTCTGCGAAACCAGCTAGTAAATCCTAATGCAGGTGCTTGGGGAGCATTAGCGCGAACGGATCCTAGCGGGCTCCCACCCGTCTTTCCCTACGGTGTCGAAATGGAAGAAATGTTTGTGGATAGTCACTTACTGAAGTTCGGGTAAATGGTTGGGCCAGGAATTTGCTGTGTTTCGAGTTGCGGCTCGGGGATTCGGGGATACATGCAACCAAGGGGCAATCAACCGACGGTGCGTACATGGAAAGCAAAATGGAATAGAGCAGCGTAATTACATAGCTTCACACAAAAAGGTGTACTGTGAAATATGTAAAAGTGCTTATGGGTTTTTCAAAAGGTTTTGTTCTTTCCTAGTTCAAAAGGTTCTAGCCTTTTTGTGTGTTTTGGTAAACATTTCTGGGGGCATGAAAACTGAGCATGATTACTGATTACTGATTGGAAACAGCAAGAAAAGATGTCTCTGTGTAGCTGCATCTAATGTCACTCAGGGACAAAGACCCGTTATGTTGAAGTGCGCTCGATCTATTTTATATCGGCAGTGTTTGTCCAGGAGTGCCTTAAATTCCGACACCGACTTTGCCTTAACTACGTGTTGCGACAGGTTGTTCCATACATTCATCACTCTCCGTTCGAAACAAGCTTGCACCGGTGTCCTTGTGTGCTGCTTGGTCTGCGCAGATGAAACAGCGGCCTCAAGATGGAGTAATCACCCAGATTTAGTATCCGGTGCGTCATGCTAAGGTCAACCCGCAGTCGACGATAAGCTAGGGTGTAAATCCCTAGTTTCTTATTTCGGTCTTCGTGCGGCCCACCTCGTAAATTGGGAATCAGCCTGGTAGCAACATGCTGCACTCTCTCAATCTTTTCTATCTCGCCCCTGGTGATAGGACAATACGCGGGAGAGACATACTCTAGCATTTATCTTATTATTGAGACGAAGAGGCGAGTGGCAATCTCTTCAGCCCAAGTGATGAAGCTGCGTGTGGGCGCCCACAGCGTATCAAGACTGTTTTGGTAATGCCTATTAGTGTTGTCCATGGACTTTAGGTCATAGCGTGAGACTACGCCGAAGTCTCGCAGGGTTTGACCTGCCACCATGTAGGTTCGACTGTGCTTTAAGGAAAATATCAAACCCTAACGAAGTTCGAGAAGCGAACTGGAACTTTCACTCCCTACCATGTCGGTTGATTGTAAGTCATGTAAGGGTGAGGTCGGCATTCGTTGCAGGTTCTGCTGGGGCGGAGTGACTGGTTTGAGTTTACGGCGTTGGAGGTGATAGAGCGGGTTGGGAGGGCGTTTGTTGTGCCGAAGCTTGCGTATATTTGGATCAGGTTCTTGGGCGGTTGCCATGGCGACTAGATCGATGATGGTTCCAGGTGTCTGGCTGATCTAGTGAATTCGTGATTAAGAACGCCTGAACCGAAAGACTTAGTTTAGGTGTCTAGTTTCTCACGGAGTATTTGTCTGTTATGCCATTGTTTGCGTAGATCAATGATTAATGGTCAGTGGAAACTGTAAAATGTCGACCTTCGAGGTACTGATAAAAGTGCGAAATGCAAGTAGTTCCCTAGCGGGGGTGCTGTAACGCGATTCAACAGGCTGCAAACGTTTTTAAAAGAAAACTAAAGCTATCCAACGCAGTTCGATGAGTTATTTTAGTACTACACCGACGGCGATGTCTGATGATTCCGTTGTCCTAGGAAGCGGTACTGTTGGGTCTGAGTGGGCGAGAAGCGCTATTTTGTGGACAACTTGTTTGAGCTCATCGAAAGTAAGGTTAGCGTCTTCCGGAAAGTGGGCAGTACATTGTTTATCGCGGAACAAGTTAGTCATCGGTTGCATTATGCTAGCGCAGCTAGGAATGAAGTGTCAATATTAGTTGACAAGGCCACAGAATCAGTGAAGCTTTTGAAGGAGCTGGGAGCAGGGTAGTCCTTCAATACCTAGATTTTGTTTGGTGTGGCCTAAATACCAGCTGCGGACAACTTGTGGCCTACGAAGTCGATGATGCTTTCGCCAAGATCACATTTGTCGGGGTTGACGATAACCAAATGTTGCGTCAAGCTTTACAAAAGAGCGTCAAGGTGACGAATATGTTCATCGTCATCTAAATACGGATAAACACCGAGTTCTCGTGTTAATTCATGAAAGAAACACTGAAAGGTTTGAGCGGTGTTGTTGAGACCGAAACGTATTTGGAGGTGCACGAGTAGACCGAATGGTATCTTGGCGCCACAGGTATCTGATTGTGGACGCGTACTAGTTCTATTTTGCTAAAGATGGACTTACTAGCAATAACTGAGGTCAAGTCGTGCATATGCGGAATGGGGTACTTATCCGGAGCGGTAACTTTGTTTCGTGCCCTGTAGTCACCACAGGGACGCCAGTTGCCGGATTTATCGACACCATATGCAATAGCGATGCCCATGAACTCTTGGACCGCCAGTTTATTCCAAGTTGGAGCATCTAATCGAATTCCGCTTTAGCCGCTTTGTTTGTTTGGGGGCTAGTCCGAGAGCGCTGGCCGAAACGGACGGACTCTTAGTGCAGATGTCATACATAATATTTGACTTCACGGAATGTGGCGTTCTGTGTGCGAACAAGCTTAGGATGATGGTTGAAAGATCTATGAATGCATGTGCAAGTTGAGACAGGACAGGAATAGGATTGATCGCGGCTGTCTTGGTGCTGGTCCCGATAATTCTGAGCTGTGTCCGAGAGTCGATTGACTTCTGCCTTTTAACTCCAAAGATAGAGTCGAATTGTTGGAGAAAGTTGACGCCTTTAGTAGCAAAAGGCACGGCTGCTACTATGAAAACTCAGCTATAGGTTCGCCGGAGACCTAGGTAGGGCGTGAGCAGCTTATTGCCAGAAGTACCGATTTGTCTGCTATTGGTGTTCTGTATTCTGGTCGGCAAAGACGTGACCACCTCATCTGAGCTATGGGATATGAGGCTAACTTCAGCTTCGGTGTACACTGGGAACTCGGTACCGGAAGTTAAATCCTTAGCACGGATGAAGCGACTTTGGTTTTGGCCATTCACGTTCGTCGCCTTTACGTGTGGAGGGAGAACTTTCCCTGCTTCTCGTCGAAGGTGCAAGGATTAACGTATTTGCGGACCCCATCACCGAAGCGTTGATGATACCGACAGGAAGTATGCCTGTTGCTTAATTTGGAGCGTCTTGTGGGGGATTTCGATCGGCTGGGACATCGGTGACTCGTAGTGAACTGTGCTTTTAGGGTGCTGTCATTGATTGTAAGTAGGTTGCAGTAGGGACCTGGGACGCGACGGCGTTGAACTTGCTGGTGTTGGCTTGTGGCTCGGTCTGAAAACTTAGCGACTTCCATGAGCGGTACGGTGCCCACGATTGCGAGGATCGCCTGTTTGTTTTCTGGTGGCCGCTGTAGCCATTATTCGCGGAGCAGTCTCATGCATGGCCGATGGGCCAAGCAGCCGTTCGATGTTTTCATAACTAGGCTTTGGCCTCAACCATCCGCCCATGTTAATACGTGAAACGCATAACCCAATATTCCACCTATGCATGTTACCCATGCAAGAGCATGCATACTTCTGTACAAATTGATCTGTGCCGCTATTGACACAGTTTCACTCATCAAGAGAAATATACGTATTAATATTAATATTGTTATTATTATTCTGTCTTGTAGTGGGGTTGAGGACGGTTTGTCGCACAACTGCAGGACCTGCTCGGCTAAGCTACTAATCACGGTAAACCGTAGCGGTCTTCTGTTTGCGAAATGATAACGTCTCGAACTTGCATGGAAATCTTTTTCGGGAATTGGGACATGAACTTACGGTACTTATCGGAATCTGTGATGATTCAGTGGTTATGAAATTGGGCTTTTAGATGAGCGGCCCACACAAAGGGATCCATGTCCCCAACTTGTGGGACAGAGCGAGACATAACACAGCGGGAGACAGTCTTATGATTTAGAGAATCCATGGTTAAAAAGGGCATGGTTAAAAGGACAAAACATAAACCGGAAAATATGGACACATAAATGTAACGGGCTCACCAGAGAAAAGGTCGCAAATCCGTCGCTGAGGTTCTCCCGAGTTTGGGGTCACCAATTTAGCGTGCGCCCAAATCGATCTTCCAGAAGACAGATCAAGTGCAGGGTAGCTTTTATTGGTACGGTAAAAGGTTCCCTGTTTGCTTTGCAGTATAAAACGCCACAGCCGACATTACTAGCTAGGGGGAACGAAAAGCATGCAGCACACAGAGTGATCGCGCGTTGTAACCGAAAAATGACCCATAAGAGAAGGTGGTGCTCGACCCAAGCAATGGAGCTCGACATGCAGTTCAGCCATCCGTACCTATCGCTTAAGTGTAGAATGAAATGTTACACAGGCAAACCGGGGATTCTCCAGATTGCTACCAGCCAGAGATTAGATGCGGTCTATGGATACATCCTCATTCTAACGGATTCCAGTTGAAACCAACTACGAAGTCTATTTCCGGTGCTCAGTTTGTGTTGATTGAAGTAAAACTTAGCACAAGCGCACCTGAACACACCTCAAGCACTACACTGGTTCATGCTGTTTTTTGTGTAGATACTATGGAATTCAGAGACCACATTTTCTGTTTAAGTTACCGCGAGGAGGAAGAATGTTCGTTTTTGTTGACTAGATCGAGGCCGTCGTCACGTTACAACTCGCAGCTGGGGCATCGCCTGTAGATTAGTCTAACAGTGATTCTCTGCATTACTTTTCCCACAACATTCCTCTCAATAACCGCACAGAATACCACTACAGTCTTAGCTACTTCCCACTTAATCAGTGTCATTTCTGCGGTTGTCAGCAACATCCTCTGTCACACTTTTACTCTTCACCTTTCTTCCTATGCATACAACGGTTTAGTGGCACGCAAACGTTTCCTCGAAGCCAACGAGATTAGACGTTTGAACAGAGTTGGGAATAAAGCTGATAGACGTTTTTGACTTAGTTTCTTTCTTCGCTATTCTGACCCAACTTCTCTGTCTTTATCACGTTTAGTAGCCCCACGCAACAAAAGTCGCCGTGTTTTCTCACGTCATCACAGTTTGCATCCTTACCTCTGGCTTCCTGGCATACAACGAACATCTCCCCTCCAATTGCCGATCCGAACCTACACAAAAATCCCCTCATTGCTGCTCAGTCGATTGCCGCTAACGTTTCTGCCCACTATGACCAAAACGCCTCCCAACTTAGAGCTTCCGACGAATTTTCGGATGTTGATTGGACGCGTGAACTGATCGCCGTTGTACATTGCTTGGCTCGACTGGACAAACTTCCTCAGGTATTTCAGATAGTTGAGGCCTTATTTCATGACACAGAAGTTTGATCTTAACTTCGGTACAACCGGATCACATAATTCGGCTTCTGGCTTCGATAAGTGTTGTTTCAATTTAAACTTCACGAATTTCGCTGTCATTTGTGCCACATTTCCTGCTTTACAGGGTTCAGCCATTGATCACGGAAGTGTGATGCCTCGTGTGGACTCACACGTTACATTGTGGTGACGGAAGTCGTTAGTTTCAACTTAGCTGCTCCGATTCATCATTCCTTTTACAGTTGCACTTACCAAATGGCCAAAACACGTCGTCTTTTTATTCTCTTCATCGTTTTATACCTTATCTGATTTTGGCTCATCTACCGTCCCACCTCGTCTCGCTTGTTTCATCCCTCTGTTTATTTTCCTTCCCCCTCCTTAGATTCTGGCTTGTTGGGCACCTCAGTATCAGCTGTCGCAGTTGCAGCACTCAGTCAGCGGCTCGACTCAGCCTATCTTCTCTGCACCTTTGGTCCCAGGGCAGGGGCTTCTCGGGGAATTGCATCGTTTCATTGTTCTGAAAGCAGTCAATGCAGTGGAGTCGGAGTATGTTGTTTGTGTACCACGAAACATGTGCCTTTTACTCACTCCACTTTCCGCTTCGCATTGTGCCTGCGCTGTTCGTCTTGATGCCACTGGCCGTTTTTGGAGTCTATTGCGGTATATTTTTAGAGCGTCTACCTGATGGACATCGAAAGCTCATGTGGATCTGATTTCTTAACGTTATGTAGTTAATCTCTCGGCCGCATTCACCATCGTTTTGGGATACCGGATGCCATCACAATAAGTCCTTCAATGGTGTGTTCATCGTATACCAAAAGCAGTGTGGGTGTATGCAGCCAAAGTGATACATCATTATCATCATTATACACGTCAGCTAGAGGTGGGAAACACCTCAGCTACGTGCCGCAATACATAAAGGAAAAGGAAAATAAATACAAAAGTCGTATGCCAGCTGAGCTACCAGCAACAGATAGGCATCGTTCCGGTAAGCTACCAGCCGCCTACTAGGCAAAAAGCAAAATTATTATGTTTTACGCTACGAAATGACATCGTAGATGGAGGGGAAGGCTAAAAGGGATGGGGAGCGACAAAGAAACTCACAACAGGAACGCCACTGAGGTCGGCTCCTTACCTTGTCAGCAAGTGTATCCAGCCAAACGTGTTCATCGTCTTTTGGACCCCAACCAGGGAACCGTGACGCTCCAACCGAGGCCAGCTCCGAAGTGTGGGCCTTCATTCCTCTGGACCAAGTCATCGCTTGGCCACCCCTCCTCTTCTTCCATCCACACCCACGGCGCGCAAACAGCGCGCGTCGCGGGAGTCGGTTGGGTGGAATGCGTAACACGTGACGGAGCCATCGGAGCCTGATGCGGGAAATGACGGTGCTGAGCGGTTCATATCCTTTTCCTGTGTCGTAAACGAGGCGTCGAACACGCTGGTTGCTCACGCTGTGTTCCCACCAGATGTGAGTTAAATTGCGAAGACACCGGTGGTAGAACATAACTGGCCTCTTTATGTCCGTCGATCTTAGGGGCCAGGTTTCGCAACCGTACAATAGGGTCGAATGTACCGCTGCATTCCCCACATTTCAACTGTTATACCATACTACACTTTTCCCACTTTTGCTTCCATTTTGAGCCCTTTTGTGTGCTGGAACATTCTTCATTTGGTTCTACTCCACTTTCTTCTCGTCCCTCTCCCTCCAGGGCAATTGCTCAAGGCGACAAGGAACTTCTGTGTGAATTCTCATCACCCAAATATTTGATCTTGCTTTTGCACCTGATTTTCAACGCTCTGTTCATTCAAACTCGTGCCTGCTTGCTCGTCATTCGTACAATGAAGGCTATTAATCCGGTAAGCTCTGACTCGGCTGAGTTTGCCCTTTCCGAATACTTGATTTCCGTTGACTAGACTGACACTTTTCAGTACCATTTCTTTGCTGTTGGTACCGCTGCCAACTATGCCTAACTTACTGCTTTTGGTCAGACGTTCCGGAATGTCTTAGAACAAGTTATTGCCCGCATCGCATTACATTCGGATTTAGTCCATCTAGTTTGCAGTGGGCACTAGATCCCTGTTTTACACTCCAAAGCCGACACACACAAAGTTTACCTACTTTTCACTCTGATATTCATATGGTTACCGGCATCCGGTTTCGGATTTGCCTGTCACTGTGCCCAGTCACAGGACGCCCGCGCCTACAGAGGGACCACGGATGGCTTGCGCTGCAACACCCATAGCTCTACCTGCCCACTCGAAGGAATAAGACCGGGAGGCATGTGGATGGGAGCCATGTTTCATCAACCAAATTATTTTAAGGGAGACATTAATATGAGATGAAAGAAGGCGTTAGGACAATATAACAAACCCACCACCTTAAATAGATAGAATTAGAATGCAAGCACGCGGTTGGTAAATCGAATGCAACGTACCCACAAACGCTGCGCCGGTTTTGTCTATGTACTTTACAGGACTCGTCGTCGTTTTGGTGTTGGCCCTGAGTGGCGTCGCTTTTGGCTGACTAAGCCTGCCTGACTCAGGCACTAGCGACCGCATGTGCTACAGCACCATCGCTCGATGTCGATGGAGTACAACCCATCGGCGCTTGCAGTTTCCACAGTTGCCGCTTCTTTTCTGCGTGTATGAGGTCTTTCTCCCGCACTTCGACAACTGCCTTCGTGATTAGATCACGCCATGCATGCTGATTGACCGCCTTCGATTCCCGTGACCTGCAATCAAGATTAGAACGTGAGAGACACACTTTACTCATGTCCTGGTAACGTAATTTTGGTTTCCCCACGTGCCGCTTCCCAATACTCAGCTGACCATATAATAGCTGCTTCTGTCTCCGCGTCGAATCTATACTGCTCACATGACCGATCCACCTCAGGTGTCTCAATAAAAGTATGCAGTCTACTGCATACATCCCACTTCGGCGCAACACTTCGGTGTCCGCAACTCTGTCGCTCCATCCGATGCGCAAAATCCGTCGCAAGCACTGCTGATGGAACCGCTCGAGATATCGCACATCCCGCCGGTACATCATCCACGTTTCACTGCCGTATAGAAGAACGGACAGCACCATGGATTTGTACACCATCAGCACCTATTGTCGCAGTGAAGAAAGAAAATGGCAAGGTACGCGTTTGCGCTGACTTCTCAGCTGGCCTCAACGCCGCGCTGGACGATCACCAGTACCCATTACCTGTACCGGAGGATATCTTTGCAAGGTTAAATGGTGGTAAGTACTTTGCTAAGCTTGTTCTATCCGATGCCTACCTTCAAGTGGATGTTGACGAAGTCTCGAGGGAGTTGTTGACGATCAACACTCATCATGGGCTATTCCAATACAACCGCTTGTCATTTGGCGTGAAAACGGCGCCAGACATCTTCTAACAGTTGATGGACACCAAGCTAGCGGGCGTTTCTGGAACCGTTGCATATTTGGATGATATCCTAGTGATGGGTCGAACACCGAAAGAACTATTTAACCGCCTGAATAAAGTGCTTGGTTGTATACAGTCGTACGGTTTCCGGATCCGTGAGGATAAATGCACGTTTTTCACGCCGATCATTCAAAAATCTCGGTTTTATCCTCGAAACGGATGGACGTCGACCAGATCCAGGAAACGTAGAAGCCATTAGAAAAATGCCCTTCGTTAACAGGTCTACAGTCCTTGCGTTCCTTTTGTGGGCTCATCAGCCACTATGGCGTATTCTTGCCTGAGATGCGCCGCCTGCGTGCCCCATTAAACAAGCTACTAGCCAAAGTCTAAACTTGGAATCGGACATCAGAATGCCAGAATGCCTTCGAACGGGTCAAGACATTGCTGTCCTCAAACTTGCTTTTGACTCATTTTGATCCTTCCAAAGAGATTGTCCTAACCACTAATGCATCAAGCCATGGGATTGGCACAATAATTTCGTACACGTACACCGATGGATCTCAGAAAGCAATCCCCCATGCCGCCAGAACACTTACCAAGGCCGAGAGAAATTACAGCCAGATTGAGAAAAGAACATTGGCCATAGTTTACACGGTCAAGAAATTCCACAAAATGCTATACGGCGGCCGCTTCAAGCTTCTGACAGGTCAGAAGTCCTTGTTGGCTATCTTTGGTTCGAAAAAGGGCATCCGGCCTACACAGCCAATCGGCCACAACGTTGGGCTCTTACCTTAATGGGTTATGATTTCGAGATCCACTACCAGTCGACAATTTCCATTGGCCAAGCGGATGCACTGTCACGCCTAATTGATGCCCATCAGCAAGAACATAAGGTCACAATCATTGCCTCGGTCGAGATCGAACCTGACGTCAACTATCTGCTAACTGATGCATTACACGATCTACCAGTTACCACTGAAGCTGTACCAACCGAAACGCTTCGGAACCCAGTACTCAAGAAAGTTACACAGTTCCACAAAACAAGTTGACCACGTTCATGTCCATCTGCCGAGTTGCAACAGTACTTTCAGAGGAGACACTCGCTCTCTGTTGTAAACGACTGCATACTATTCTCGGAAAGAGGGGTCATCCCAAACGCACCTCAGGAGCGCCTTATTTGGCAGTTCCACACCGGGCATCCTGGAATCAACCGGATGAAGGCGCTTTCCTGCAGTTATGTATACTGGCCCTTCATGGACAAACAGCTAGAAGAAATAGCTAAACGCTGCCAAAAGTGCACCAATGTCTTGATAGCGCCACAAAAATCAGAAATCTATTCATGGCCGAAAGCTACTAAGCCATGGTGCTGCGTCCATGTTGACCTTGCGGGACCGATCAACGGCGGAAGCTTCCTCATTATAGTCGACTCATACAGCAAGTGGCCTGAAGTATTTCTTATGGAGAACACAACCACCAATGCCACCATATCGAAACTGCGCCAAACCTTTAGCAGATTCGGCTGTCCTGAGACAATAGTCACTGACAATGACACACAATTCACTTCGGTAACGTTTACGGAGTTTTGCAAGCAATGCGCCGTCCAGCACATTCGCTCTCCGCCGTTTCACCCACAGTCGAATGGCCAGGCAGAAAGGTTTGCCGATACGTTCAAGCGAGCTCTCCACAAATCAAATGGGGAGGGACGTATAGAGGAGGTGGTTGACCGGTTCCTTTTTCTCTACCCATCAACCCTGAATCCACAAGCGCCAGACGGGGTTTCTCCAGCACAGGCTATGATGAACCGGAAGCTCCGCATGCCTTTCGACGCCATCCGACCGGGCTCGGAGTCCTCTGTTTGTGAAAGAAACCGCAGAATGGAACAGGATTTTAACCGGCGGCATGGTGCAAAGTAGCGATCGTTTACGCTTATACAGAAAGTGCTTGTACGTGACTATCGGGAAGGCCATGCGCAATGGACGCCAGGGACGGTCAAAAGCAAGCGCGGAAACGTTACGTATGAGTTGATGGTGGGCGCACAGATCTGGGCACGGCAAGCAAACCAGTTGCAGCCAACATTGTGTCAACCAGAACAAGTAAAGTCTACGGACCTCCCGTTCGATTTATTAGTGGAAAGCATCAACTTGCTGAAGATAGCATAGGACGACAGCACACAGTCGAGCAAAAGATCCAGAACACGGACATCGGAACACAGTTCTCGGGCACTTCTGCCAAGGAGATAGATCGACAGGCAGAGAACACCGTCCCGAAGACTGCAAGTTAATCCCAGGCTTTTGTCGTATATCTCGGACGAAATCCCAGGAAGCGTGTCCGGGAGAAAGTAAGAATTGCCTAGAAAATTCACTATTTTAGCGATTAATCGATTATTAACGATTATCGCATCGACTTCGAACATTCCGGAATGTTCTAGTTTCTGCACGTGACTGAAAACCATCTGACACCTAGGCAAAAGATATGGGGAATCACTAACCTTGGTAGCGGACCCTCCAATTCTATAAGTCGAAGGTCAGTAAGAGACCTATAAATACAGCCAAGGTCCGCGGTGGTTGTACAGTGTCTGTTGACGGCGATTAATGCGTTCTTTTGTCAAGGTAGTTGGCGTTCTGCTTTTTCCTTCGGTTGGGCTAGACGTTTTGTGGTGCAGTAAAGTGTCGATTTCGGAATCGCGTCTAGTGAGAAGATCATAACAAGTGCGTTCCTTGTTGACGTCTTTCGACTTCTGTTTTTTAATCGACGTTTAAGTTTTGAGGTTGACACGTTCGATATACGTAGAAGGCCACAACAGTTAGTAAATTTAATCGGAAGCAGCCCACTTACCAAGCGCTATGCTGATGATGACTACATATTTAGCTTACTTGTCTCTCTTACATGTTGGCCGATTGTGGCGACGCTGTTGACTTACTAAGTCTGCTTGGCTTAGGCACAAGCGACCGCGTTTTCTACAGCATAATGCATTTGACGTCGATGGGTTAGAATCCATCGGCTCTTGTCGATTCCTCTACCGACATTTCTTTTCCACATTAATTAGTTATTTCTCATGCTTCTGGGCGACCGCCCCCTTGATATGCTTTCGCCATCGCCTCGGATCCACTGCCATCGCCTCACAACACCTGAAATCAACATTAGTTCGTTATTAACTCACCTTATTTCATGGTAATGTAACTGTGGTTTTCCCACGTGCCGCTTTCCTGCGCGCTGTTGTTCATAGCGTAGCTGTTTCGGTATGCAAGTCGAATCCATGCGGTGAACGTACCCGGACAACTTCAGGTGTCTTGGCAGAGGGATGCGGTCCACTGCGTACATGCCACTGCCTCGGAGCACCTCTGGTTTTGCTACTCGGTCACCCCAGCCGATGCGCAGAATACGATGCGGACACTTGATTAAAGCACTTCAGATAAGGAACATCTTTCCAATAAAGCGTCCAGGTTTCTCTGCCGTATAGAGAAACGGACAGCATCATAGACTTGTAAATCATAAGCTTCATACCAACAGTGAAGTGGTGGTTGT